TATATGGGTGTGTGTGCATCACAGAACTAGAAAGGGGATCATGAAAAGAGAGGAAGAGATTTTTAGTGTTTGTTCTTTGATAATATCATATATACATACCATGTATTTTTATCATATTCAACCCTCAGCCCTTCTCCTAACTACCCCGAGTTCCAAACACCATCCCTAATCCCCTCTCAACTTCTTTTTTTCCTTTATAATCCATTGAGTAGAATTTGCATTTCCCATACACTTATGGGCTTGGGGCTATCCACTAGAGCATGACTGACCCACCCAGACACACCCTTAAAGAAAACTGACTCTCCTTCTCCCAGAAATCAACAACTGTCAACACTCCTCAGCTAGCAGTGGGGATTCATAGTTCTCCCCACCCCCCACCCCGCCGCCATGCTGAAGTATTGAGTGGTTCGACCTTGTACAGATCTTGTTCAGGCAACCACACCTGCTATGAGTTCATGAATACAGTGGCCCTGTCATGACTGGAATATACTATTTCTCTCCCATTCCCCTGACCTCTGACTCTTACAATCTTTATTCCCCATTTTCTATGATGATCCCTGAGCCTAGAAGTCAGAAGAGTGATGTAGAGATGAAGAAATCCTGAAGCAATTATAAAATGCAGGATGCTAGATAATGAAATACATATAACAGGAAAGAAGGGAACCAGCTGGATCCGGGAGAGGTGATGCAAAGTCTTTCAAGAACAAGTCCAGTCATGCCTCCAAATCCAAAGCTTGAGTGATCCAAAATTCTATATGGAAACAAACAATAAAATCAAGCCATCTCAATTAAAGACAGAATTCATCATATAGATATTCTGAGAGAGGAAACAAGTCACTGGTATCAGAACAAGAAGACAGTATGTCCCTCCAAGGCCATGGTAAAAAGCGACCTCTCTGTTGGTCAGCTTCGTGTGCTGTGGTCATGTAGGTGAGCTGGGAGCCTCAGACATCCTGTGTGCTTTGCTGGGACTCTGTCTCCTGTCAGCTCAAGCAGCACCATGCTGCTGACATTCCTCAGCCTGGTGTGTCCTAGTGAGTCCTGCTGGGAATGAAGGGTGTGGGACACAAGGGTGCAAATATCAGCTTGGGAATCAGGCTCAGCACACAGCCGGTCACCCAGATTCCACAGAGTGACTGCACACTGTGAGCTCAGCTCTCTTCGCCCACCAGACTCTGACTGTGGAAACTCACAGCCTGACAGGGGCAGAAAATACTGACTTTGTAAAGATAATGGATCATCTAACAGGAGTCTTTCTTTCCAGGGTTCTTTCTACTCCAGAGGACCTGGGCGCAAGTGGGTGAGTATATCCCTAAACCTTGAGTTACCATCTGCCCCAAATAGATGGGTTTTATTCTAACAAGAGGGCAGACAGCACAGGGCTTGGGCTGGTGGCTGGACCATGGGGAGCTTTGTGGGTGAGTCTTGTGAACTAGAAAGCAGGGATTCTGGAAACCTGCCTCTCAGTTCTGTCCCAGATTCTCCCAGACGCTCTGGTTAAGTCATGCACAAAGCTTGACTGGATAGAAAAATAAATAAATAAAAATCTCTCATTCATAGTTCAAGAACTATTAGAAATTGATGGCTGCTGGGAGAGGGAGAGTCAGTATTGTTGAAGAGTGTGACCCCCGGTAGATCGACCATACTCCAGTGGATGGTCACGCACCCATAAGTATAAGGATAGCACAAACAAGACTCGATGGGTTTAAAAAAAAGAAGTCACAAATTTGGATGGCGGGAAAGGTGGAATGGACCAGGGAGATTTGGGTAGGAAAGGTGAATATAATCAAAATACATTGTATGAAGGTAGGTGGGCAACAAGCCCCAGCCCTAGTTAAGGATCTATTGGCAATTGATAGCTACTTGAAAAGGGAGTCAGTTTTCCTTAAGGGTATGAGGCCTGGTAGGTTGACAACACCCCAAAGGATAGGCCCACACCCCAAGGGATTTGGGGGACAGGAATTAGACTTGATAAGCCATAAACAAAAAAAAATAAGAGTGGACATGACGTTGGGAGATAGCAGGCTGGAGATAGAGAAAAAGGAGGGGAGTACAAATATGATCAAAATACATTCTATGAAATTCTCAAAGAATCAAAAATATTTTAAATACAGTGTATGAAAAAATGATAAAATAAAATTAAAATGTAGAAAAAATGTATTTTAGAAAATCAAAGTCACGAAGGATAGCAAAAATATCAAATAAAACCTCTTCCCTTCTGTTCACTCTCATCCCTGCCCCCATGTATTTTGAGTTTCTGATGTTATAATTTATAACTTTCTATACTGCATGTTACTTAACAAATCATCAGAGCTGTTTACCTATCAACCTTCATCCTACAGCTAGGATTTGTATATCCCAGCGCACTATCTAACATTTCAATTTTGAACTGTTTTTGAATTTTCAGATGATCCCGTTACTTGTTAGCAGCCTTTCTCTGTCAGCTTGAAGA